GTTTGTTAAGAGGACCATTCTAACGAGGGTTTCTTGATTTTATTACAACCGGTTAAGGATATGTGACAATCTGAGAAGGAGAATAATGTAGTGATGGAAAATAGAAAGAAGGGATTGGAAAGATATCATACTGTAATACAACGAAACGAGTCAGATTCTTCATGGAGGTACACTACCTTACAACCTCAAAAGAATAGGTAAATTTGAGATCATTTTTCTCGGGTATGTATGTATTGAGTGAAATATTGGGACCTTTCTACGATATTTTTGATAACATTCTAACTGTATTTTCATACACTGATTATTATATTAAATTATTGCATAACATCTCTGAAGAAGATCCCAATATTTTATTCAATAATTACCTGAGAAAAGAAATTTTAAGTTTACCTACTTTTTAGGTCTACCAAATCTCACCCTTTTCGTTGTATTACAGTATGAAATTTTTCCTAATCCTTACTTGTGTCCTATCACTGCACACTAGTTATTTAAGTGCAACGAAACCGTCTTATTATTCCTCTAATCGTTCGAAGTTAGTACTCATTGCTGATCTTGAACCCTGACGAGGAACGCCACGTATTTCCCAACTAACCAGAACGGATGACTCGTTTCTACAATATAGCCACTAATCGAATTTCCACATGAAAATGACCCACGTCAATTGAACAATACTACCAAGCCACATATCTAGTTCGTCAAAGCTACCTCCGAGACACATTACAGTATCATCGATCAGTGTTCGGAGGCACCTCTGACCATTAAATATTTCATAAACTAATGGCCATATGCGGCTGAAACAAATATCATTGACTTCAGAATTCCAAGCTCTACCGCTGTACACCTCATAAAAAAATTCTCTTTACACCTGAGGATCCCTCCTTATCAGTGCCAAGGAGCTTTCAAACACTCACCGATGATTTACCGTACCGTCCAAAGTAATCAAAAACACCACCAAGGTAAACAACCACCGCCCGATGGCTGATGTCTCCCGTTCCTAACAATACGGACGGTACCAACGAGAGCCCAGCGGCGGCTACTCCGCGAAAAAGACGTACCTACTGTTGGCCGACGTATTGAAACCGGTTCCCGACACGAGAGTACGAGCTGGTAGCTGTCCGTCGTTTCGTCTCCGGCAAGTGTAAACCACGGAAAGGATCACGGATTATATACCCAGTAGTTGGAATACGTAGCGGGGCATCAACTTCGGGCGTTGATTGCCTGGTTGCCCCCGAGGGGGCAACGGTCTTATCGGTCGTTGTGTCTGTGGGAGGGTCGACGGTCCGTTTAGAGGGTCGTTTCGGCCGTACCCGTGTCCCAGGTACCGCCGTGGCCGCGAAACTGCCGCGTATCCGTCCGTGGACCGACAACCGTAGGCGTTCAATGGGGTACACCATACACGACAAGAGGTTCGACGCGCGTCGTCTACTCGTCTCTGCCCCTCGAACGTTCTCAATTAACAGTCTGTCCCTCGAGCGAAAAGACTCGTCGTCATGGTCTTCCAGCGCGACGATAACGCCGCGGGTAAACATTGCGGCACCCCGTAAGACCGTCTGTATATCACGCACGAACGGAAAATTATATTTCTACCCGTTTATTACCTGGCTGTTCGGTTCCTCGAGAGAGCGACACATCGTTCCGCTGGCGGTTTCGCGTTATGGAAATCGTCCACGCCCGGCGACGACGGTGTAATTCTTTCGCCAGTAATATCTACCGATGACTTAACTGTCCCGGCCAATAAACATCGTCGTAAGCCGTGCTACAACGCGACGTGTATCTCCATGGGACGAATAATATATCCAGGCTGGGGAGAGCCTTGCGCGCACGCAATCTGTTATTCCCTCTGGATAATGTCCCTTCGAATTGATCACAGAATCCGTGGAGAGATCATCTCAAGACCTGAATGTGTTATTGTTCCTGTTGCTGAAATGACCCGTGACAAGAGCCACGCGATACATCGAAAGGGAAATTGCCAGGTGATTCCGTGGGCTGCGCGTGATTTTTCGACCGGTGTTAACGAGTTAACGGAAGGGGCCCCGTGATGGGGCCCCGCGGGGAAGATAGTCATCGTCCGGACAGGGGAAGATCGTATCATCCCCTTGAGGATCGGTGCCTTCTATCCGGCCCCTGAGACCGGCCGACGCCGGTTTCGACACCTGGAGAACCATGAAACGACGTTGTTACGCTCGTTTAACGCGATTTACGATGCTCCCCACTTTGGTCTTGTTTTTGCTCGAGGCTCGAGGAGGAAGCGGTTATATGGAATGGTCTGCGCGGAGATTGAAATTGCGCTTCCTGGTTTCGCGATTGTGATTTAATCGACCATTCTCGTGAGGATCGAAATTGAGAGGAGAGGGTAGGTATGTAGGGAATGGTACGAGGTGGGAAGATGCTCTTCGTCGTAGTGGGTCGAACACGTTTGGGCATTATTAATCTTTAGGCTGCCGGGAGTATCCCTTTTGGGATATTGACGAAACTTGAAATTCGACGCAGTGCGTATGTTATGTATATACATAGAAATTTTTGACAAAAAATACTAGTCTTGTATGACAAAAGGCCGGAAATGTGAAGTTAACGCCCTTGCCATACGATTTTTTTTAAGACTTCACTCTCAAAAATTAATTTATCGTTAATATTTTCCCAGACGCAAAAGGAATTCTATTCTTATGGCAATTGTTACATTTATTCTAAACCTTAAATGTTAATACCAGCGAAACAGCATTTCACATTGACTCGAAGAAAACGAATAATATACAGGTTTATTAAATTTAGTTGGAATTCGTTATCACGGGTCTGACTGGATGTTGTAAGGCAAGGGGTTAATAGCAGTGTTAACACGTTGGCAACATATCTTTGGCTTGTACGGCCTTAAAATTCTTGGACCGTGATGCAGATCTGCGATAACGGCGTCAAACGTTTAACGTTGGATTAACCCTTTAACACTATACTAAATTAAATTGTATAATATATGAAAGTGTATAATATAATTCAGCATAATATAGAATAGTAAAAAATGCGTAGTAAATTATGATTTCCTTACTAAAGATGACTATGACCAGCGTTCGTTGTGTACCAAGATGACTATAGTCATTCACCGCTTAGCGTTTCTTGTGTCCCCTAATGGCGACTATAGTGACCCGTCAAAATTTTGCGTTAATTAAGAATATACTTAAAATGAATTAATGAATTTAATTATATGCATTAATTAAACTGATGTCATTATACACTCTGCGGCAAAATGTAGTCCCCCGATTCAACTGTTCCGTTCAGGGGCACAATACTGGTGGTCAGAGTTTCGATAAATTTAAGAGAATAATACATAGTGAAAAGCATCAATATCTACGATTGTCATTCTGACCTTTAAACAATTAATAAGATCAAACAAATGTCTAGCAAGTGTCTGCACATTTAAAAAGAAATATTATTCAATATTTTATATTTCTTCTCAAAAAATAAAATAAAAATTTCCACGTTTAATTAATTCAAAATATCGGAATACTTTTCTTATCTTCCATTCATTATTCGAAGGTCTTTACCAGAATAAAAAATTTTAACATCTGTTCCTGCAGCCACCTCCGCCGTAGCGAAAAGGTTAGCAGTCAACATGAATTCCGCGAAAAGCACTATTACGATCTCACTGATCGTAAAATAAGAAACCTGCAAACCGTCATTTTGACGGGTTTGGTAGCTCCAGTGTTAATACTACGTTTGCTAACGATCTCTACCACAATTAATAATACGGTTGCATATCAGCAACCAAAATGCTAATCTGTTTCCTACACTAATACGACGTCGAGACTCGCATTCTTTTCAGCCCCTGATCGGTTAGCTCGTTTCGTTTTTATTTTTTTTTTGCGACCGTACATTTGTCCCTGGACACTTCGCCCGAATGGCGAATATACCTACGTGTCGCGAAGGGGCGAACAAAAACTCGGAATGGCTTTACCGATTCCCGATCGTAACATCGACCGACAAGCGTTTGTCCAATTAATTTTAATTGTACGCGATATCGCCCGACCAGGGATAGAAGGAAAAAGAAACGAATCGTGCTCGCGCGAGCACGCTGTCGAAGTTTGTTTGCGTTTCATGGAAAACTTTCAGATTCACCGATCGGTGGCGAACCGTGACGCTATCGCCGCCGGTGTGTTTCATCGATTACCCACCCCGTCTCTCGATTATCGCGAACAGTGTATTCAAGTGTTCCACGGATGTCCATTAAACGGGGAATTTAAAAGACGCGCAATTCCGTCTAATAAAGAGACCACACCAGGCGTATCCCAACATGTCCCCCGATGTTCGTTACACGGCGGACTTAATTGGCTCGTCTTTGTCTCCTCTTGAACTCTTATCTCTCACTCGTGTTCGCAGTTAACCGCGAGCATTTTTATTAAAAACACAGGTACGACGTCGGTCGAACAGTGACTGAGATGTTTATCTCACGAGCAACCCTTTCCCCCGCAACCGCAGATACTCGGAATCTTGTTGCTTGCAAAGAAACGAAAGGAATTGACGCTGTAGAACCATCTATCACGAGCCATATTTCCCTGCTGCAAAATACACAATGAGACTAGATTTTGGTTCCACAGAAACTGAAGGAATTGACGGTGTAGAAACACATATCTCGAGCCAAATTTCCTCGCCACGAAATATAGAATGGGACTAGCATTTGGTTCCAAAGAAACGGAATGAATTGACGTTATAGAACCATCTATCTTGAGTCATATAAGCCCGTCGCGGAAGAACAGAAAATTGGAGAAGCATTTGGCTGGAAAAAGACAGAAGGAATTGACGATATAGAACTATCTGTCTCAATCCATGTTTCTCCGCTACAAAATACAGAATGGGACAAGCGTTCGGTTCCAAAGAAACGGAAGGACCGTGATGCAGATTGACGCTACGGAAACATCAATCGCAACTGCACTCGAGTAGCTTTCAAACATGTAAAAGTTGTTTATGATAATATGAAAAGAAACGATAATAATCAGACATCGTGGAGGACTAACCGTCGATCAAAGACACTGGCGGCACGGTCATCTGTTGATGGTGATGCGCAGCCGGATGCTGATGATGATGCGGCGGATGTACCTGCAGCAGATGCGACCTCGTCTGGGAGAAGGTCGGCGAGGGTGGTTCCCAAGGTCGTGCGACACCGGTACTAACCGGTGGATCGTCGTCGTGGCAGCAAAACTTATCAGTGGCCGCAGTGGAGCCGCTGTTCATCACCGGATGTACATCGTTATTGTTGTTGTTATTGTTATTGTTCGCGACGTCCCCGTTGTTGTTGTTGCTGCTGCTGCTGCCGCCGGTCAGACGCGTAGTAGTCGCGCCTGTCGCAGGGCTGCCACTACCACTAGCACTGCCACTGACACTACCACTGCCAATGCCGTCGACCTGCACCATTTCGCTGTCGATCGCAGCCGCCGACTTGGCAGTACCAGGAGGGGTCGCGACGCCGCCACCGATCATCATCACCAGACGATCACCTCTCCACCCCCCTCCACACCGGTCACCAGCTCCTCCTCCTCTTCCTCCCCCTCTGGCTCCACTTCTGCAGCTACGCTACGACCCTGCTGTACGCTCGAGGCGTTTCTCTTCCTGCTTTCGCATCCGACGTATACTTACACAAGGGTATCCAGCTTCACCCAGACGATCGGCCCAATCCAACGTAACGCCCTCACGCAAAAAAAAATTCGCGCCGATCGTTTCTCCCTCCACAGTTACCACCAACCCTTCTCTGGTCTCGTGCGGTTCTTCTCGTAGGAATACGTTCTACACTTTTACGTTCAGAGTTCGCTACGGATCCATCCGAAGTCGCGACGATCGGATCGTCGTCGAAGTCCCTCGAGACGACTTGAAAGTTTCTCCACACAGACGCGCGCGCGAGAACTTGATTCACATTGAAGAACCAGGGCACAGACACGCGTGAAAGAGAGTCAACAGTCGAAAAAAAAGAGAAAAAGACTTTGTGGTCCCGACCAACGTCTTCCGGTACGGGTTCGTTTCACGAATGCGGCGGTGGCACCTACACACGCGCGCGCGCGCACACACATACACACACACACACACAACCACAGAGAGAAGCAGCAACGGTCACAAGGAACAGGAGTTTCGTTCGGTCGGTCGGTGTGTCGGCGCTGGCGCAAGAGCGCGCGAGCGCAATCGACGCCACGGTCCGTCGTGGCTTCCTGGCGTCCGATTAGCGAAGCAGAATGACATCCTGTCCACCGTTTGGCCGACGGCGAGCGCGATTCATCGTGGCCGCGAGCTTTCACGTCGGCTGTCGGTCTCCTCCTCGTCTCCTACGTGTGGGAGCGTGGTCGATTCGAGCGAGCGAACGGAGCGACGACGACGGGCGAGAGGAGTGTGCTCGCGAGCGCAGGCGCTTCGTCGATGCTGCTCGTGACTACCTATAGACGTGTGTGCCCTTCTCCACGTCCCTCCCGCCGTTCCCGTCACCTATATCACCTCCCTCTCCCTCACACTCTCTGTCTTGCTCCTCCTGACTGTCTCTTTCGTTACGATGTGCTCCCGCTTCTTTCACGGCTTCAGACCGGAGCGGATCACGTCTCTGTCCCTTTCTCTGTCTTCCTTTCTCGTCCACCTTCCGCCCGTCCGTCCGCGTTCACGGGGAGACCCTTCACCAATAACGGGGCGACGAGAAACGCGTGCACTCACCACCGGGATAACCTGCTCGTGCTCCGCCGGATTCGAGCAGATTGCCTTCCCGTACCCGGGGTTACGAAGCGCGCCAACGACTAACCTTACCCCCACCCTCGTCACGCCTCAAGGGAATCACCGGGCGGCTACTTAGGCCGAGTGTCCAGACACCAGATTTCAGGTAAACGCGACACCTTTCTTGCTGCTCTTCTTCCTTCGAATCTCTTTTTTCGTTCGATCGTTTATCTCTTCCTGGATCGATTGTTCATGGTCAAAGTCGTTGATATTTGTAGAAACTAACGCACCGTCTGATATAGAGAGTCTTCTACTCTGTTCGGCTACCAAATTCTCGATCTCGCTTCCCCCGAAGTCCATCCGTCACTTATCGACCTCGAGCCCCGGTTCTAACTGTTCGAACACCGGAGTCAGAATCGATTCTTATCAACACGCGGCACGTGATTCTCCTGTCTATGGTTCCCGAGACTCCTTCCGATACACTTCTCATCGGAGCTTCACTCCAGAACGAAGACGCCGCCCACCCCCTTTTCGCGAAGACGAAGCAGACGACGACGAAGAAGAAGAAGAAGATCGGAGCGCGCAGCGTACATGGGGTAACCTGCTCGCGGTCCGCCGGATTCGAGCAGATTGCCTTCCGTTCGGTGGCTCGAAGCGCGCCCAGACTAGCCTTACCCCCACCCTCCCGGCCTCGGTTCAGTCGAGGTGAGATCAAGATTTAAGGCGCCGCGGCGCGCGGTGTGGCGCGGCACGCCGCGTTGTACCCAGCACACGCTGACGAAGACGAACAGGAGGACGCGCGTATACGTCGAGGACGTGGAAGAGGACGGCGAGAGGGAATGTACATGTACGAGGCGGTTCAGAGGTGTACCGGGAGCAAGAGAGCCAGCTAGCTTAGGCTAACCAGCCCGAAGAGGAGCGCGGGTTCGCGCGTTGATTACGATCACGCGCAGCCAGGCCCAGATTGCTCGAAGAGAGGAGGCGACGAACAGAGACAGGGTGAGCAGAGGTGCAGAGAAAGAGAGAGAAAGAGTGAGACAGAGTACACGGAGACAGGAGCGGTTTAACTGTGGGCAAGGGGGAGACGCACGAGGATGCATGGAACAAGCCGACTAAAGGCAGCCAAGTGCGCACTCGATGCCGCGCATCTGAGCTTACCCGACGCCCACCGACCATTACCGGCTCGATCGACCAATTGGGCGAACCGGTGGACGCCCACCGATCTGTCCGACCTAGCGCGAGTCGTCGCCCACGCCGTACGAGAGCAGCCAAACGGCGAAGGCCCTTCCGCCTTCCACCGTGCTAAACCTCGCCCGGTCTTTGTCGTTCCCGCGGACGGGATCGATTAATTCACCGAATCGGATGTCGATGTCGGATGCCCGGCTACGCTCCGGATGAGCCGATTCCAACGATTATACCTGGGCAGCTTCTGTCTGTCCCGTTTCGATGGGACACGACGCCGGCGGCAGAAGCGCGGGCTTTCGAAGTCTCGGTGATTTTTGGAGAACACGGGGAATGAGAACGTTTAGATAACTTAGTGTGGAATTTAAATGAAGAAATAGATATACATATATGCTCTACGTGTTGGAGGAAAGGACATTTGAAGGATGTAGAGTAGATTGTCTAACTGTGGGCTACCATTTGTACTTCAGGATTTATTGCTAAACCTGTTGAAGATCTTTAGGATAACGCTTTAGTTTATCCGGAACGTGTTTGTTTTACGATAATGGAGTAAAATAAGTTTCTTTTGGACAAGTGACGTAGTTTTTACATTATTCACGTAATGGTGAAACACTTAACATGTTTTTATACTTTCAACTAGCCCATATTTAGACCCTAACCTGTGTTTGGACCACCGCCTATATTATAGCGAGGAATCCTGAGACGGGTTCCGTAAAATGAGTGACATCCAATAGCTGATCCGCTGAGTCTTCTTGTATACGTAACTACGAAACCGGATTAGAGTGATCCTTGTTATTACCTTGATCAACTAGCTCACGGTTTTTCTCGCAATCGTCATAACCCTTTCGACAGATTCCAATGTAAATCGTACGTAACAGACGGCATCTGTATATATCTAACTGCGATCGACGCTGCGGACAGGAAAGCTTTTCATCAACGATAACGATTCCGGAAAATTTCAAGCTACACGGTGACGATGGTCGCAACAGTGTGCTCTTGCAAATCGTGCAGATAATAAGCGCTTTGTGGCAGCCGTTGTGGAGAACAGAGCATGAACGTTTGTTGGTGAGCGATGTATCGGTTGAACGCCTATAAGAGCCAACAGCATATTCTTCGAATGAAGTTTCAAAATGCCCATCAGCGCCAATAGGGAAAGGGTTAATCAGCTACCGGTAACGATTTCTTCAATTTGTTTCTTAGTCTAGCTATTAGCACAGACGAGATAAAAGAATAGACCTAACATCAGGGCTTGAAAACTGTTATGATTTCGGTTTAGGTTCTTGAAAAAGTTATGAAGAACTTTTATTCTGAATAACTGTTACGAAGAACCTAAATTTCAGGCTGTATAAATTTCAGTTACGGTTCCTATATTAGCTCCCATATCAGTATTATTTAGGTTCTATGTCAGTTCTATAACAGTTATTTTTTAGGTTCTATATCGATCAGGCCCGACCTTAAGAATCAGACGATATCAAAGTGAAACACCGAATATGATGAAAAGTAATGAAAGTTGAATTATTTCATTGAAGGGGAAGACGGCGTGTGTGTATGTGGATAAGTATACGAAACGGTGGTATATGACACGTCCCTCATGATTTTCTGATGGCGACGAACGTGTTAGCACCACGGCTGGAACGACTTCTTTCAGGTTAACGAGTTATACCGTTCGTTTTCCAGAAAATTCGTTCCGAAAATAACCAAGAGACTATATGAAAGAAATATCACACGGTGCATCGACCCGTCCTTAGACATGTAGGTACTTCATTTCTCAATCTTCCAGCGAGCAGCCTGGTAAGCTGCTGAACAGATAACCATTTCCCGCGTAATTACCGATAGGGAGGAATACCTAAGTACCTATATTTAGATTGTTGGCGTTCATGGGAAAATCGTGGCTCTGTAGCCGACTCGGAGTATAGTGGAAATCCGTAACGTTAGCATGGCGTATGCACGAACGTATTTCTTCATAGTCCACGCAACATTGCAGGACTTCGCTCGAGTTTACTCGATTCGAGAAAGAGCAAGAAAGAGGGAGAAAGGGAGACAGATGAATTCCGCCTGTCATTTCCTCTTTCTTTTTTTTGCTCGAAACCTGGATACCGTTTTAATCCGAACAGGTTTCCATAGTTTTTAATGCCTCGCTGATATGTCGTTTCCGTAAGAACGGAATGGAAAAAGAATCGATTCGACGGAAGATCGTGGAAAATCGTTCCAAGTAGGCCTTGCACCCGGAGGCGAGCGAAGATATAATGATCCCGTTTAAGGCGGGGAGAAACAATTTGCCAGTTCCTAAGTCACTGACGTGGATCCATCACGCGATGATTTCTTGGGGCCAGTGTCCCCGCTAACCCGTGGATCCATTGGTTTCATTTGGTTGCGTGCCACCAGAGGGGTACCCTCTACCCGACTCGCGGGAAATCTGTCCCGAGTAGATATATATGTACGCCTAGAAAAACGAAAACAATCGGTCCTGCCACGGCTGTAATAGCTCCGCGTTGCATAATGTCGTTCTCTTTGGAATTGACGTCATATTGTCAATGACGATTTAGTATTTTAAATTTTAGATATTAGTATCCGATATTGTGAATTTTTATAAACTTGTTTAGTTATAACCGAAG